CGGCTGTGCATATCACTTTTGCGTTGCTTGCGGAGCCTGCGCTTGTGCTCGGTTGATGACTGTCCTCCTCCTCATTCACTTGTTCACTTTCGCTGGTAATATTCTCCTCTGTACCTCTCTTCCGAATACCTCCCGTTTTGAGCCACGTTTTTAACATCATTCAGCTTTCTTCTTTCTTTAGCTTGCTTGCAACGTTAGCGGGTAGTAAGGTCGTAATTAGCAACACCAGAAATAAAATTTTAAAAATGTTTTCGTTTCTAAATCTAAAAACAGCAATAGCCTATTAGAACTAATTTAAACCACAGTTTCAATTATCTCAAGCTTATTTTCATTCGTTGTAGTATTTTGATAGTATGATTTTTTTTGTATTAATGTTATTCAATCAAGCCTCAAACTGATGGCACTTGTCCCTATAGCCTGTTTTAAATTGAAGTTGTCTGAGGTCCTTACCATCAGCTGCTGTTGCAGTAATAATAATGTACCTTAATGTCCCAAATGTGCACAATGTAGTGACTGCTTTTCGTCTTTTTGTTTACTTAGTTCTGTTTCCTGTATTTTATATGTCTGTGTTATGTGTAAAGGTTAAAGGTGGGGTAGGTACGTTTGAGAAACCGGCTCGAGATACACTTTTTGTTATATTCCATGAATGCTCTTAACATCCCGATAGCAATGAATATCTGAAGTGCTTTGACAAAAAATCCATTAAAAAAATGTCATCTGTGGAAGGCTCTGTAAGGAAGTGGCATATTTTTTCCGGTTGTGTATTTTAAAATTCTAGCTCACTCGAGCTGGTTTCTCCAAAATTACCTACTGTACCCCACCTTTGAATAAAAATTTAATTTAATTTAATTTTTTTTATATGTCAGATTCCTCCACGTACCACTAGCGGGAGCTGGCGTACCACCAGTGGTACGCGTACCACAGGTTGAGAACCACTGCTCTAGACTAAAAATATCAACAATAACATGCTATAATTAAATAAAAAGCCAATCAAATAAACACAAGGGATGATCAAATATAGTAAAAACAAAGATTAAAGCATGCATTCATGGTGAGGACGGTTTAAAGGCACATGAAGTGACTGTTATTTTGAATATATTGATTGTTGTTCTTTTATATGTGTGCATGTGTAGAAATGTATCTGTTGAATGTGTGTATACATATTTTATACATATTTTTTTATATATTTGTATTTTGTATTCCTCTGGATTGTGGGAAACACACAAACTGAAAGATTGACAATAAAGTTGACTTTGACATGAAAGTTGTCAAAATGAACCAGAATTGCTTGTTTTTCGCTTATAAACTGATGTCTGGTGATCTCTTGCAGGCTCTGCTCTCGGCTCATGATACGGTGGCCCAGAAGGACTACGAGCCGGTTCTGCCTCCGATGCCCGACGAGCTGCCGGAGGAAGAGGAGGCCACCAGGACCGTCTGCCTGGTGAAGAACAAACAGCCTCTGGTGAGCTACACAACCAAAGTCTCCTCAATCCCTCATGTAACACCTCGAAAGCATCTTTGTTTCTTAGAATACATTACTAATTGCATCAGTGGAGAAATTCTGCACATAGTAGGTCTTCACACATGCATCAAGATATTTGTCACATAACACACAAATATAGGGACACAAAAGGAAAATGGAATTAGTGATTTGAGTGAACTGACCCTTTAGACTGCATTTCATGTGTAGAAGAGTTGCTTTGTGATTTGTGTTTTTGTCATATTTAGATATTTATTGATCCGTCTGTGAGCCATGCATACATCCCAGCATATAAACTGGAGCACAATGTCTCAAAGCAGATGCTCGTGGTTATTTTAATATGTAGGCTTTTTTATTTGTGCCAAATTTAAATCAGCGGACTGCATCCAACAGAGATCAGAGGTTTGGATTTTATAATCTGTCATTTTAGTAATTGTCTGCTGATGCTACAGATTTCCTCCCCGCAGAAACCTCTGGGAACATGAGGATATTAAAGGTTATCAATGTATGCAAAATACTAACATGTCTTGTAAGACGTTTGTCTTTTGAGTTTTTTTATTTGACAACAAAGTATTGGTTTTAACTGAACTTTAAGGAAGACAATCATGGTATAAAGGAATGAGCATTGTTCACAAAGCAAACTTAAAGTCATTTTCTATGAAACAAATGTCTGAAGATGTCTCGCTTTTTTCAGATTTTTGTATCATTTTAAAGTGAATATCAAGACATCTTAGACTTTTAGAAACTGGGATGTTTTCTTACATTAAAATAGACCACGCCATTTAAATCCATTAATATAATCCTATTTGAAATAGTCAATCTATAAAAGAACCATTAGTAGTATCAGCCCTATAACCATATAACCACCGTGAGAGCTTGGGTGTTTGTAGAGATACAGTAAAAACCCATTTTCTAGCACCAAGCAATTTAAAGTATTGATATGATTTTGAGAATGGTGATCGATAATCTTATCTTTTGAATCTAATTCCTTTTCCCAGTCTTGAACATGTCTCTCTACCTTTTGAGTGATTGTGTTGTCTCACAGCTCCCCCACCAGAGACTGGGTGCCTCCTCCCCGTGTGCGAAACGATGCAAAGAGAGGGTCCGAAATCACTGGGACACCCTGAGACGTGTGACCCAGCTGAAAGGCGGTGCATTCAGGGTCCAAAGCCATGCCGCAGGAACTGTGAAGACCTCGTCGTCTTGTAGCTCTCGCAGGGGCAGCTTCCCCTCGTCCGATGCTCTTTGCCCCGCAGCAGCAGCGCGGCCGTACGCTCCTCCTCGATTTCATTCAGCGTGTAAATATCAGATGTGCTGTGGCAAGCCGCTGAGCCCGTGTAGAGTTTGTTACTCCGGGCTGATCTGGGAACAGAGTGTTCACCGCTCTGCGCCCTCCGTCTACAGCTCTGTGCTCATCGGTAAGAAAAAAAGAGTCATCTTCATCCATCCTTCATCACAGAAACTCGTGGGCTCTCATCGGGGCGGCACAAACTATAGTTTTGCGGCCAACTGGCACGATTCAAGCAAGCGATCAGTGGTGTAAAGTAACTAAGTACATTTACTGAAGTAGTATACTTCAGTACACTTTTGAGTTTCTTACTTTACTTGAGTATTAAATACATATCATATATATTATTCTGAAATGGACCAATCTGCAGAATGACTACTTTTACTTTTGGTGCTTTAACTATATTTTGATGATGATACTTTTATACTTTTACTTGAGGAACATTTTGAATGGAGGAATTTTACTGTTACAGAGTATTCCTTCACTCGGGTACTTCATCTGAGTACATCTCCCACCTCTACCGGCAATTTGTTTTCAAGCAATATACTGAAAAAAAGAAAGGAATCCTGTGATGTGTTTCATTATTTATTTATCATCAGCTACAGACTAGTTTTAGTAATCGAAGTCGCCCAACAACACTCAATATATCATGAGTAATTCTTATATGTGCAGCCCTATGGATTAATAATGTCTGTGCTTCCATTGGAGACAACATCATGGAGGGGTCGGACAGTGGGGATGAAGCAGGAGAGTCCCCCTCCTCCCCCCCCACAGCCCGTCGCTGGACGCTATCCCCCCCGTGTCTCACCGTGCCGTACTACGCCAACGCGGACCACTACCTCCACCCAGGCCTTCCTCCCCGTCTCCGAGGCCAAACCCCCCGCATCCGCACCGCCCCCCCCAGCCCCCTGTGCCCTCGCCGCTTGGTGAACCTCCCCCGGGTGCCCCCCCCCGTGGAGCTGGCCAAACAGGAGAGCCTGGACGAGCTGAGGACCACGGTGCAGCTGGCCGCCTGCTCCATGGAGAGCAGCACCAAGGACATCAAGATGCTGGGGGAAAAGATGGCCGCCGCCACGGAGCGCATGTCGGAGACGGTCCAGGACAACTCCCAGGCCCTGGTGCTGCTCTCTCAGGTGGTGGATCGGCTGCAGACCCTCCTCGTGCCCCCCCAGGACTCCCCCAAGAAGATCCGAGCGCAGCATCCATCCCTGACGCACCAATCCAGATTCCCCTCTCTCCCTTCCTCCTCCTCTTCCTCCAGCTCCCTCAGCAGCTTCCTGGAAGCCCCCTCCCCCTCTCAGGGGACCAGCGGCCTCTCCGTGTCCTGCAGTGGGTCCCCCCGCCCCGCCCTGAAGAGCGCCCAGTCACCACAGAAGAAGAAGCTGCAGCAAGCGTCCAAGCAGCCTCTCACCAACGGCCTGCAGGAGGAGGACAAGAGGACGCCGCCCACTGTGAGACGCTCTCACCAGAGGAAGAGGAGGAGGAGGAAGGCCACATGAGGGACGCAGAAGAGTTTCCACGAGTGGACTTTAAGGGTCCTTTCAAGCCGTCTGCACCGAGGGGCCGACCAGCGAGCGAGCACGGTGGTAGCTGACGTTTATTTCCTACTTTTTGTTGCATTTTTCATCGTGTTCTTCCATCGTTTCGTGGATCATTCCATTCTTTCTCATTACCACTCGGGACTGATTCTGGAAACTAAACACAAGGGTGCTTATTTCCAGATCTACGATGTTACACTACTTTGTTTTGTAGCAATATATAGCGTCTTCTGTCAAAGACCCTTGATTCCTTTCACTCCCACCTCCACTGCTTTCTTCTCATGTCTCATTTCAGGAACTTCACTTTGTGTTTGTCACTTGGTTTGTTCCTAGACTGTCATGATTCAAACATTTCACATCCTGTCCAAGCCTTCCCAAGACTTCACCACGTGTATTTGTTTGTTGTGAGTCTTTCACATTAGCTTTATTTATCCTCTGTTCTCATATCTTCTCTGTTCCAGGGAGCGACAATAAAAAGAAACGAGAACACGGGGGAGATTTTCATCGCCCGGGTGATTCACGGAGGTCTGGCTGATCGCAGTGGTGAGCAATTCCTCTCTAAGAGACCTTCTTCAAGACAAGAACTGTTATATTGAATGTTTATTAATAAGTACGTTTTGTAACCTTGGTGACTTCAGAGACTCAGGGTCACAGGATTTAAGTCTAATTTTTGTTTGTGTTATGTGTGCAGGGTTGCTGCATGCAGGGGACAGGATCATAGAGGTGAACGGGTTCCCTGTCGACGGGATGGAGCCAGAGCAAGTCATCCAAGTTGTGGTACGTCTATTTTGGAAACTAACACAAATGTGATCATTTCAATGTGTATTCATCCTTAAACTGTTTATTAAAATACTCTTTAAAGCACTTTTTGATCCGGAAATTGTTGCTGTCCAAGGCCATCACAGCACCTTTTCACATGTCAAAACAGATTCACGTTTTGAAAATGCTTAGAAATGCAGCTCAGTTTCTTATAAACCTAGGAACCATTCATATCTACTCATTAATCCCTGTTCTGTCTCTACAACCAATCAGCAAGTGAGAGCGCAGGGCACCATCGTGTTTAAAGTCGTGCCCATCACAGAGAGGCAGGTCCACAACCAGACCATGGTAAGTCATCTACACACACACTCATGAGTCATGACATCACACACACACATCATCATATTAACCTCGCTGCTCTGGGGTTAGCTGTACGTGCGGGCCATGGCGGACTACAGCCCGGAGCAGGACCCCTCCATCCCCTGCGCCGACGCCGGGATGACCTTCAAGAAGGGGGACGTTCTGGAGGTGGTGAATCAGACCGACGCCCTCTGGTGGCAGGCCAAGAAACTGCCCGACAACTCCTCCTGCGCCGGGCTCATCCCCTCCACCAACCTGCTCAAACGGTGAGGGATCTACTGACATGCTGCTGCTGCTGCCCTATTATGATTACTATGCATTATTTAAAGGTCTCCTATCATGCAAAATGCACTTTTATACATAAATATGTGTCCTCGGTGTGTCAGGGAACTCACAAAGTGTCAGAAAACAAAACCCTCTCTCTTTCCCTCCGTACCCACATGACCTACGGCCCTATCGGAAACGTTGCTATCAGAAACAATGCGCAATGTTTTGGAAGTAATATGGTCTGTGTTTACATTAGCAAGCATTGCTAACACTCAGAGCTAACCTGTACTGGAGAGAGTGGCCGTTTCTCAATCTCGAGGATGCTGGCTTGGTTGTCGCGTACTTCCAAGTCACTTCCTTCAGAAACGAAGCAAGTATACTTCCAAGCCACGGCTTCGGAAAACTAAGAAGAATGGAACAGACTAACAAGTGTGCCACTCTCTCTAACGGTTTCAACATAAACTGTACCGAAAATAAATACCTCACGATGTCTATCTAATTATGAACTTGCTTTACTTTCACGGAACACATTTTTGGTGATAACAAATGTAACAAAGTAACATATTTACCAACACATGTTCTACGCCACTACATACTTACATTTAAATGTGTGCTGCGTCGGTTCAGCCATTCTCCGCAAGGGTTTTTGAAATTGGTCCGTGCGCAAAGCATTGTGGGGATTTGAAGGACGCGAAGTCTACCCATGTGCAGCCTCGAAACCAAGAACGCGGCCTCGGTGGAATTCCAAGTATGCTGGACATTGGAAGGACAGCCTTTCGCGGCACTCGATTACGTAGTTCCTTGAAACGGCTGGGTCATCCTCTGTCGCGCCCCCCCACCGCCTCACTCACCACTTGCAGGCAGTCAGGTATGAGAAGTCCTCCAGGCTCTTCAATTGGACGCTGATAGAGATAAAGGACCAATCACCTCACAGGTGGGGTCATGAGGTCAGAGGTGGTGTGAGTGGGGACTGAGAAGTTTATGAACTGAGAATAAAGTGGAACAAACGGACTGGAGAGAAAAGCTATTAAATATGAGATGTGTACGCGATGAGAGCTGAGTGTCTGTTCTATTTAAATTGAATTCTTTACAATAACTTTTGGACAATGTATTTTTCCTCGGGTTTAGGACTCTTCCTGCTCCACACAGTGGGTAAGCAAGACAAAACTGCTATGTTTTATACCAAGGAGGTTCAAAATTCAATTTCATCAGCGGCCACATCAGCATATAAGGGTGGCACTTCAATGGGCCAGTTGTAACTTTAGACAATATCATATATATAACATACATATATATATAGAATGTATCTCATATTCCTCTGCATTAGAATCATATCGAAAGGGGGTAGAACTT